CCAGCCTATCTCAAAGAATTGTTCAAACCAAAACTTCCATGCTGACAGCTTCACTACAGTGACAAAAACTTACTTCACATTTAAAAATGGAAATTGAAATCTTATGGTTTTTCACTCATTTCAAGTGGCAGCCGCGATGACCTGGAATTACTTACCCGCTCACCTTAGAACAAGCCCAACAGTCACAATTCAAAGCAAACCTAAAGACATATCTCTTCTCTATGTATTACAAGTGACTCCTATATGCTATCTTGTCTGCGCTATGAGCATGCTGTAGGTGTTGATTTAGCGCATTACAAATGGACTAATTATTATTATTAAGATAATTTTATAATTTCATTTGTTACTTATGGTTAACAAATTGTGAGCACATTTATCATTCAGAAGTTTCGAGAAAAAATAAAATCTCATAAAAGTAAGCGTTCATATTTATGGAACATTCATGGTAAAGAGACGAAATGATTCCAAATGAGATGATGTCATGCAGTTTGACGTACACACGAAACATTCGCACAAACACAAACACAGTGCAGCAAATCCATAATTTTAGCACATGCATTGACAGTTCTGGATGGAAAGCATGCATTGCACTCTGAGGTATCCTTTATAAAGGTTTGTGTCAAAACATAGTTCAGTATTGACGTAAGGAGGTGTATACGCCACACAAACGAGCCTAGACTTAATGACTGAGCAGAGGGGAATGGCCATAGAAGAAGGTAGCGCTGCAACCGTTGTAGCTGGGCAATTGGGCTGTCATCTTACCACCATTACACGATATGCTCAATGTCACCAGCAAACCTGGTCTGCTGCTGATCATACCTGTACCAGATGGCCTCGAGTGACAACTCATGCGAAGATGGTTCATCCGGGTCATTCATCTAAGGAACCAAACTCAAGTAGCAACAGTAACAGCAGCCTTAGTTCATGGGCCAAGGGGAGCAGTGTCCAGCGATATGATTAGACGTTGTCTTCGGGCATCTGTTTATGTGTTTGGCGTCGGCGAAATGTGCGCTATGCTGATTGTTGTGTCAGACAGGCAAACAGATGGGGTGGTGACAGTGTGATGGTCTGGGGGGCATTCAGTTACAATCACAGGTCCCAGATTCACGTCTTCTGACATCGTGTAACTGCTGTTGTGTACAGGGATCATGTTCTTCAGCCTCATGTTGTTCCCATGTGTGCTATACATCCCCAATTACAGCTCTTCCAACAGGACAACGCACATCCTCACACAGCAAGGGTGTCGATGGATTATCTGGCTCAGAACAACATTAACGTTCTTTCATGACTGTCTCTTTCCCTGGATATGGCTCCCATGGAACATGTCTGGGATGAAATTTGACGTAGGATTGCTGCAGGTAGACAGCCACTCACACTTGCACATTTGGAACAGAGATTGGTGTTCAAGTGGAACCACTGGCCTGGTGCATGGCCTGTATGCAATCTAACTGGGGCCATACATATGCTACTAAAGAGACTGTCACTTTTCGCATTCAGGGGTATCTCCATTTGACAGACTGATCAATTTGAACTTATTGCAATGCAATGTCATCAGCAACTTTTAGCTGTTAAATTGACAGTGTTTTGGCGATAGATGGTGCTGCTCTGCTGGTGACAGACATCAACAGAGTTCCCATTGTTTTTATGTTTACACAAGTCAGTAAGTTTTGAGGAACTGTATTTTGTGCTTAACAACCCTGCAAGTATGGGTGGATTCCACCGGTGTGTGATTTTAGCGATGGCGCTAAGTATATTTGTCCACTGCGTGTCATCGTCTTGGAGGCCTTTAGATGACTCCGTAATGGCGAACCAAGATGGACGTCATTGGCACCAGTATGGACGTGAAGAGCTGCTGGCACTGCAGGAAACCGCGTTGGAATTGTAAGGACTTAGAGACTTGCCCCCGGAAAGTGCATCAGGCAAGGGGAATAATTCAAATTCAAATTCAGGATCAAAAGTTACTAGGAAAAATGAGGTAAGCAGTGAGGAGTCCGCCGATGAGTTCAGGCGCGCAAATCAAGACCACCTCTTCCAACTTTTCTATTATCAAACGTGAGATCTCTTAAGAATAAACTTGACGAACTTTCGGCAAGCACAAAATATTTGTAGGAATTCAGAGACAGTTGCATTCTATGTTTCAAGGAGACATGGCTATCACCCTCCATGGACAGTAACACCCTCTATTTGGAAGGATTTGGTACTCCAGTTCGATTAGACAGAGATTCAGATGCTCCAGGGAAATCTATTGGAGGAGGTGTATGTATCTTGTGAGAGAAAGGATAAGTTCACCAAACATCAAACTTCTATCAGTGTCTATGCGGCCTACTTATCTACCACGTGAATTTGGTCATATATTTGCTGTGAGTGTCTACATACCACCCAGTGGCGATAACAAACAAGCTGCTGATGTAGTTCATAATCATGTTCAATCCCTAGAGCTGATTTGTCCTGATGCGCCGAAATTCATACTTGGAGATTGTAATGGATGTACCCTGAAGTCTGTGCTCCCCACCTACAATCAGTATGTAACATGTTGTACACGGAAAGACAAGATCCTTGACTTGTGTTATGGTAACATCAAGAACGCCTACAAATCATATAGTAAACCACCTCTAGGAGCTTCGGTCCATAATTCTGTGTATTTGCTGCCCACATATCGTCAAAAGTTAAAAACAGAGACGCCTCTTGTTAAGACTGTCAAATCATGGAACAAAGAAAGTATTGATACCCTACAAGGATGTTTAGCGTGTATGGATTGGGACATGTTCTATGATGCAGAACAAACATTAGAAGGAATGTGTGACATCATTACGGATTATATAAATTTTTGTGTCAACAACATAATACCAGAAAAAGAAATCAGAATTTTCCCAAACAACAAGCCCTGGATCACCAAAGAAATGAAATCTTTATTAAACGAAAAGAAACGAGCATACATGAAAAAAGATAGAATAAAACTCAAAAGCATACAGAAGGACATCAATCTTAAAGCTTGTGAGTGTAAACTAGCGTACAAAGACAAAGTTGTGAGACAGTTTCAGCAAACCTGCAACAAGCCTGGCAAGGCGTGAATACGATGATTGGCAAGAGCAGGCGACGACAGACAACCAATGTCGGGGATAATAAGACCTTTGCTGAGGACCTCAACACTTTCTACAGCCGCTTTGATTGTCACGACTTTACCAATGAGAGAGCTCAAGTTAGTGAAGCCGTACAGGATAGTGAAAGTCGTATCCATATATCAGAAGCTGACGTCGTTCAAAGTTTCTCCAGAATTAACATCAGAAAAGCAAAAGGACCGGACAACCTTGACGGCATTGCGTTGAAGGAGTGCAGGCTTCAGCTGTGTACAGTTTACCTTAGATTGTTTCAATTCTCAGTGAATACACACGTTATTCCTTCGGTCTGGAAAACATCAGAAATTTTACCAGTTCCTAAAAAGACACAACCTAAACAACTCAACAACAACAGGGCAGTTGCTCTCACATCTATAGCAATGAAGTCGCTGGCATGCATCTTGTTGAGACATCTCCGACAGGAAGTTGCCGAAATACTGGAGCCGCTTCAGTAAGCCTACAGGTCAAGAAGAGGAGTTATTGATGCCACACTGTCACTCCTTAATAATGTCTATAAACATCTAGAGATACCTAAGTCATACATCAGGATCCTCTTCGTTGACTTTTCATCTGCGTTCAACACCATCCAGCCACATATCATGATACAGAAACTGTTAGACATGGGCGTTAACTCATACCTCATCAAGTGGATCGAAAACTTTCTTGTGGACAGAGAGCAGTACGTGAAAGTTAATGGGGCTGTATCGAGTAAACGGACCACCAATAGTGGTGCACCACAAGGCTGTGTAATATCTCCTGTTCTTTTCACCCTCTACACTAATGATTGTGCAAGCTCGAATTCAACCTGTTCAACTGTAAAGTTTGCAGATGATGCAGCAATTGTCGGCAAACTGAACGACTCTGATTCTGAAGAACTGTATAAAGAGGACATTAATCATTTTACGACTTGGTGTGCAGAAAACCACTTACTCTTAAATGTCACAAAAAACAAAGGAATTGATAATTGACTTTCGGAGTAAACCCACAGAAATGCTTCCAGTGATAATCAACGGTGAATTTGTTGAGACAGTGTCGGAGTATAAGTATCTGGGAACTTTCATTGACTCTAAGCTGAACTGGAACTCTTTCACTGAAGCCCTTTACATAAAGTGTCAACAACGTCTTCATCTCATGCGTAAACTGAGATCTTTTAATGTTAACCCATCTATGATGTCATCTTTTTATGTAGCATTTATTCAAAGTATTTTAACATTTTCCTTCCATTGTTGGTACGGGTCTCTCTCACTTCATCTCAAATCTAAAATAGACAAAATTGTTAACACTGCAAGTAAAATCGCTGGAGTCAGATTTGAATGTTTATCATCAATATATGAGCGGCAAATCGTGAATCAAGCTGTCAAAATCATATCTGACCGCACTCACTACTTAAATTCGGAATACAACCTCCTCCCTTCAGGCCACCGCTACAAAGTTCCAATTGTGAAAACTAAGAGAGCCCGTACATTCTTTATTCCAAGTACCATATCTCTCTTACACAAATGTGAAGATACCTAAATCAAAGAAGTTATGTAAATATGTTTGGTATCTCTCTAATGTGTCAGTAGCTCTGCTGATGTAACACAAACTCCTGAAAAGGCATTAAAGTATTATTCTGTTCTGTTCTATTCTATTCTATTCCATTCTATAGAATAAGTGATTAGATATAATTTTGTTTGTCTTCTATTTCAAAACTTGACAAAAAGCAAGTCTTGCATTTCTTTTGCTGTTCAGTATATTTTGCTTTGTTAAGGGAAAAATGATGTCATAATTTCTTAACATAATTTCTTCTAATATATTGAATCTTTTAGCTGTTAAAATTGTGTTAACTACAGTTATGAATTGGTAACATTGGATTAAAGTAAACCTTTAATATTCTCTTTCTAGCACAACATGCTGCAGAAAACTGTGCAATTCTAACAGGAATCGGAACTGGAATTGGAATTGGAATTGGAATTTGTTTTCCTTTTATCATCATTCTTACCACAGTTTCAATAGTTCTTTATCGAAGACTACAGTTCATTGCGAAACAAGGTTGGTTTAAAATGATTATATTTGTAATGTTTATGGACAAGGTACAGCATAAAATGTTTACCATAAATGCAGAAATGATTATATTCATTGTTCACTGTCTAGAATAATACCAAATTTGGCCTCTATACCCATGGCCTTTCACCAACAAGACTTAGGCCTAAAAAAAAACCTCGGCATCCAGGGTCTTAACTTCTACTGCTTGTTGTTTCATGCCATATTCACGCTATGTGATGGCCCTGTAAATAATCGTGTCTGGACCAAATTATTTAATGGTTTCACAGTTTTGTGATATTTTGTCAAAAATAATTGATTTGATTGCACTACAAACTTAATTTTACTACTTTTCTTATCTTAGGCAAAGGAGGACAAATTGCAATACCAATGTGAGTATGTCTCCTAAACAAAGTTTTTATAAAAATACAATTCACAGCCTTGACAATCTAGGCTGTGAATTGTATTTTTATAAAAACTTTAGCATTCTAAGTGATGATGGTTATTTATTGATAGTGATAAGATGCAGCTTTTCATTCCCAAAAAATGTTTTTTATATAATAGAGGCCCAAATGTTATAGTAGTTATGAAGCTTGTCACAATGTTTCTCTCAGTCTTGAAGACTTGGGACGACCACTTAAATTAAAAGTAAGAGTCATATTCAAAGTGTTAAGAATACTTCGATAGATTGTACAATAACCTCTGAATCATACAAGAATGCCCCTGCCTCATTATGGGCATCAAGAGAAGCAGATTTTCATTTGATTATGAAACATTACGAAGTTACATCAAGCTGTCCTTAATGTTTTTCCACACATTCAGGACATCCCAAACATCTTTGATAACCGATACTTACATTACAACAAATGCTATCATGATGTCCCAAATCAACTGATTTACACGTTTAAAAATGTACTGCATATACATAATTGTTATCATTTTCTGGGATATAAGAAGTAAACCAAATGCCTCCTAAACTTAATAACTTATTGGTTAAGTGTCGTAGTTCACAAATTTATGAACACTATTAAATGTCAACGATATTTCTAAAATGCTTACCCAGAAGGGTACGTATGTAGACCTGCTATGAGGCCTTCAGTTGGCCCCAAGTAAGTAAAAAAATTTAATTGGGAATTGAAAGGTTCCTATTTCACGTGCATACACTTACTGCTGATGTGACAGTGACTGAGGAAGAGACTTGCTTTTACACTTCAGCATTAAAATACCACTAAAGATAAGAAAATAAAAACTTTTAAAAGATCAGCTGTGAAAAAAAATAACATTTCCCACCAATTTTCCTGTCAAAGGCTCTTAGCTTTGGATTTTAGATAAATCCCTTGCTGATTAAAATTCCATTCATTCTGGATTTTCTCCCAAATTTCCAACCATACACCCTACTACACTGATACAGGATAGTGATCAGTTATCTAAACAAATGTGAGATGAGTTATCAATCAATGAAATACTTTTGAAAATTCTTTTCAAGGAACATACCACCCCAACAACCAACCGGCAATGGTGAGTACAAGCATCATACATTGATGACAGTTCGTAATTGACTTAATCGTATATATATGAACTGGGTTAATCTGCTTGTGGTCCTTCATTCCAAATTCACTATTATACATTTCATATACAAAACATGTATCTGGTCATTATTACTTAGCAGCCATGAATCAGAGGTTATACATTGATTAGATCAAGCGGTGATGTGATGATGATGTCATTATTGATTATGTCAACAGAAGACAGTAATCTGTATGATGGCCTTGGGGACAGGAATGAAGACAAGCAGATTTACACAGAACTCCAGAATGCATGAATATGTAAGGACTTCTTTAAAGTGTGAGTATAGACCTTGCAGAGATGTAACATTAATCATTTCTGTTTTCATAATCAATTAAAAATACCAAAAACAGATACATAAATGTGTGTTTTTATGTTTTTTTTGTTTTTTCTGGTGGGTATTGATTGACACTTATGATACCAAATTCCACAAAAATGATGTAAGCAAGATTTCATACCACAGATCTGCTGAAGAAACTATGTTACTAAAGTACTGTCGGAAATAGAAAAAACTGTATTTTCTCATTTATCTCTACAATTTATGAAGTTGATATGTGCAAGTGTGAAATATCTGTTAAACTAAGTTCTGCATAACTACAGTCTCAGTGGTAGGGACATAGGAAACGTAGAAAAAGGACTTTACTGAGGAGAGATTAGTGCAGAAATGAGCAATGCGGTTTTTTCTAAGTCCAAAACGATTTATTTGGAACAGACAATGGCTTTATGCAAATTAGTGTGCGATGATATTGTATTACAAAGGGCACTTTTTAAATGCCCAATTTGAAATTAGTCGTAGTTTCATTATGAACAACAGCTGGCGTAAAAAATAATAACTTTCATGCTGAAACTATGAAGGAAACTATGAAGGATGTAGCTACCATGGAGTCTCACTATCACTATAAAAAGAAACAGATAGGAGGGTTCGTCTCAAAAGCAAAACCTGGACGGGTGTCGCAGACGATCATTGGGGTCGGGCTGGGGGATAGAGATATCAGCTAAGATAAGATAATCCTTTAGGGCAATTATACTGGGGAAGTACACGGCATGTCATAACAATCTACAGTCCTGTCGATCTTCGTGACTGGGTGGTCATGCCACCTATATATTTTGAGACATTTAATACGATGCGTTTCTATGGTTATCGGGTATCATACTCTTTTACATATCTCAACGTAAACTTTATGAAAGAAAGACACGTAAGATGTTAATCAATAGATGAGACATAGTCAACACACATGAAAAAGCACAAAATATCTTTGAGATGCCCACTTGTGCCTGTAGGCAGCACATGCATTTCATGCCAGGTGAGTCATAACTGGCAGAGCGACCAAATTGCCATCTATAGTCTGATCTATTGGTTTATGCAGCTATTCGTATTCTTTCTAAGTTTTGCCCGAGTTTACAAGTAAACACTATTGGTCTCAAAAGCTAGTTACAAGCAGCTATAAAAAAGTTTTGAGTCTAAAATACTTCTGATATGTGTTTGATAAAAATAACATGTCCATTTCTGCCATTTCAATAGGGGTACATTTGATTAGATGTCACATGACCTGAAAATAGCGACATGTGCTTGTCAATATTACGTTTATGTGAATGATGTAAACCATTCTTCAATATCATACAGTTATTTTTATCATGCACATATCAGAAGTATTTTAGGCTCAAAATGTTTTGATAGGCCCTCGTATAATTGCCAGGTTAGATCTACTTTACCAACATCTAAGTTTTTCTTATTGTTTCAATAAAGGTCATATACAGATTGGAAAGTTTACTTTAAAGAAGTTTAGAGTTTGTTTTTGATATATATTCCACAGTAGTGTTTCAAATGTTTGAGTTGCAGACTATAAAATATGAAACAGCCAAATAGCAGTTTTTGGAAAGTTAATCATGTAACTCATAATAAGTTGCAGTCTGTAAAGTATGAAACAAAGCCAGACATCTGTTTTGGGTAAGTTAATAATTTGGGTAAATTGTCATCATATTTTACATTCTGACACTCATGAAGAAAGAAGCCACTGGTCTGAACTGAAGGACTAATGATTATACAATGCCATTTAGAAAGGACTAATGTAACACATATTAATACTGTATACACGGAAATTTTCGTGGTATCTAATTTTCGAGGTTTTCGAGGTTAGAAACGCAACCTCAAAAATATTATATCCATGAATTTTTCCGAACTTCAAACTAATCTTAACGTTCAGTGACCCTGAACGGCCTGAATAAACAAACAACAGAAATGCGGTGTCAAGACTATTTAATTGTAATTGTTGGTCCAGAATAACATGCATTACAAAAATTAGGTAAATCAAACCAACTGTCAATACACTTGATGTCACTCTCTGGCCAACAACAATATAGTTTCAGCAGAGACCCATGCATACATGCCTATATAGTTGTTAGGAAAACAATATCGTTTGAGAAAAAATGGCGTCATGTTTGAAAGTGATGTTTCTGGCCACTTTCTTCTAACATTGAAATTAAAATTGTCTAAAATATTTATATATTTTAGGTCCCCAAACCTCGAAAATTAGATCACCTTGAAAGCTCTGGGGGTCTCAAACCTCGAAATTTTAGTACCTTGAAATTTTCCTGGTATACGGTACATGCTTGTAAAAAGACTTCCTAACCTGCTAGAGTTTGCATTATGGTGAACTTCATGCTTTCTTTTCCACAAGTCCAAGTGCCCCAGGTGTGCTTATGGGTATTGCCTTTGTCCATGGTCTGTACATCTGTCAACATTTGGTGGAAAAGTGAAGACCAAAACACTTTGGAAGAAAGTAAAGACCATGTAAAGATTTCATTGCATTAATATGATACCTATCATATTTCTCCTTTTTCAGAATCTTGTTTCTAAGGGCCTGGTCATGTAATGTGGGGTTTTGGGAGGTCTGGGAAGATGAATTACAGCATTATTTCACGTAATAAATGTCCATTATTTATCAATAAAAATATATATATATATTTGTATTCTTTGTTGAATCAATATATCTGGTACATTTATAACTTTGAACCATTCTGGAAGGTCAACAGGAGTAATAAAATAGGCTTCTCCAGATGAGCTCTGAGATAAAAATGGAAAAAATTCCATAAAACTGTGGGTGTCAGCAGAATATTATTCAGCTCTGATAACAGTCTCCACCCCCACCACCCATGATAAAACGCTCATTCTCAATAACGGGGTGCAAATAGCTCACAAAAATATTGAAAAATGAATCAAGTTGTATTTGAGTGAACTCATTTATTTTGCAAAGGTAGCATACTGGGCTGCCTAAAACCAACGTGAATTCAACAAGAATAGAAAACTTTTGAAATTTTCACAAGGTTACAAAGTAGGTGAACACTAAGAAAATATTGACGTCGAAATGTTCGTTATAACAATGGATAACCCCCTATGTCAATAAAAACACCACATACGATACAATCATGGTCCTTACTACAGAGCTAAGAAGCATATGTTTCCGTAACATCGTGAACTGTGATCTTACCAGGTGGACTCTGTGGCTCCCAGCAAATACAGTGTAGAATACAACATACTGAATATGCAAATATTGAACAAACTTTATCAAGGCAAACTTTAGGAACGAACTAAACACATGAAGTAAAATGCCATGAATTGACAAATACTTGCAACTACTCTGAGAGTTCAATCTTTTAACACATGTGTTGTTTATTTGAGGAGGAAACAAAATTTACTAATTTTCTAACCACTAAATACAAACCACTATAAAAGTAACGAATATTTTAGCCAAAGCCATGTTTTCAGAAAAACTATCTTGTCCTCAGACAGACATAAACTGAACACACTTCCAGTTATTGAAAGCTGTAAATAACTGCAAACAATAGCATAAAGCATTAATAAGCACGTTTGTTTCTTTTAATCAAGCCAAAGTTGACATTATTTTCAGACATTTTTAAATGTTTAATTGCAGGAAAGTGAACTATTGTTTATTTTATTGTATTATCATTCATTTTTTTGGACATGAATTTGAAATAATAACACTGTGATTATTCAACATGAGGCTAAAACAAACATTATGGAAATTATAGGACAGTTGTTTGATTTAATCCAAATCGAAATGTCAGAAATATCCGTTACTTGAATGAAATGTTAAGTTGTTATTGTCACTGATGTTACGATAATATTTATTTTGCTCAGTTTTTAGTCTGTCTTATTAAATACAAAGTACAAATACTTGATAAACTCAAAGCGTGAAACAAAACTTAACAGCATATAATGTTGTGAATTTTTGGTTTAGGAGTGAAATGTTCGATTCGTTGTTACTTTCTATTTCATATGGCTTTCAATTGTAAGTCTGTCACTTTTGGTGATCGTGTACATCCTCTTTGACTTCCCAGATGGAACAGGAGTGTTGATGTGACATATGACATCACTTTCTTTGCACCAGATGACATCATCATGAGCAGGCCATTGGAAGTTAGACTTCTTTGATTCCATGAAATTGATTTCATACTCAGAGTCCTCGGATCCACAGTCTCGACCTTTCCAATATACCATCTTCCGAATACAGCTGCTACAAATTCTCCTACATTGTAGTTAGGCCTTGCGGCGACTCCAGTGTCATCTGACATATTTACAACAGCAGAGGTGATACCTGACATGTCTGTCTCTGTCAGAACACTGTGGTCTTCTTGGTCCTGGGTGACTGTGGTCTCCTCCCCGCCAGGTGTCACATACAGTACCTCCCAAACACCTGTTACAGTAACAGCTTGTGTCACGACGTGTATGTGCCCACTGCCTCGACCTTTGACAGCATGGATCTTCATGGTTCCCTTCACTGGCTTCAGCTTCGGTTTGCCTGTGATGCTGCAGTGGCTTCACATTCTTCTGTAGACACAAAGAGGAAATTCACATTTGGCATGGAACAGTGTTGTGATTGGGACCAGGCAAAGAAATCTTTCGAATCCTGAATGACAACTTTCCCAGCGTTCACGGCTTGATCAGCCATGCGTTTCACTGTTCCCGAGACCGTCACACGGCCCTTTGCCGTGGCGGCCTCAAAGTAATTCCAGGTAGCTGTGATGTTGAACACGTCCTCATGGTTTGCCACTAAATTGAATATGGACTTATTCCTGTATTGGCTGGTGGGACTGTCTGTCCAGTAGTGCACATGCTTCAACTTCGGGATCCAGCTGCTTCACCTCCTGGATGATGTATTTGAGAAAGGTAAGTACTGTGGTGGAGTTGTGGTTCATCTCGTCCGGACACCAGGACTGAAACTCTGATGTTGCAGGTCAGATCCATCGACAGGTAGAGTATATACTACCACTGGGTGAAGAGTTACAGAGGTCTGGTTCCAGTAGGCGGATTGTATTTCCTCGACAGATTTACAGTTGTAATTTTCAGCAAAGTCCATATGAATAATAGCTTCATGCGGGAAGATTTTGCTTCAATTCACGTATTTGTGAGTACTGGGTTTTCAACCCGAGATACATGATCGATAAATTCAAGTGTTTGAAGTTTCAGTTTTCAAAGAAGACTGACTTTGATTCGGTGACTTGGACTATTTTCATGACCACTTTTGTTTTGCCTTTTATCTCCACAGGCACTCTCTTCCATTGCCCATATGTGAACTCTGGATGTGGTAAGTTTGCTTTCATGTCATCGATTCGAGGATTTTCAGAATACTTTTCAGGATTCAGGGGATCTCGGATACAAAGGCTTGAGAGACTTCAGAATGAGTGCCATGTTCTGATGCCGTGTGCATAAACAACAGTCACGTGTTATGAAGGCTGTGGTAAGTATTTGTTTGGGTCTAATTCTACAGAAAGAAGCCAAAGAAAGTTTTACAGGATGTTCTGCAAGGAATTTTTGATGGAGATTTGTCAGGTAATCTGTTAGTATTCTTTTTGCACAGATTCTCCTGTGCCTGTGCTCATTTTGTCGCCTTTCCGGGGAGGTTTCTGCTGTTATCATCTCTATTCATAAATTGAAGGACATCTTCTCGAAACCTCATCACTTCTCGAAATGCGCCTCTGTCGCACAGGATCTATTGTCTTTGACTTGACTTTGCCCAACTTGTTCCTACTCAAACCTGTCTTCTGACTCAACATGTTAATACATCGGTGGCGCTTTACAATCTTGCCAGCAACGATATTGTGAACTACCATACTCTTTGATGATCTGATACTGGATCTCGCGATGTCGCCAGCTCCTTCATAAGAACATTACCAAGCAACAGTTGTCTCTTTACACGCCTCCCTTGATCTTTTGTTAGTCCCATTCTTCTAATCTGTGCTGCTGTCTGTCGTCGAGGTGTTTGTGGAGATGGTGGTAATGGACCACGGTTACCTTTCCTCTGCAGCTTCCGTGGGATCAGTCTTGTACTTCCTCTTGAGGTTCTGTAAGTCATCTTTCAGTTTGCTGACTTGGCTAGTTTGGCAGCCAGAGCATGACTTATCCGTTTCGAGGGTCCATTTCTTCGATTTGGGAACCTCATCTGTACCAGAAGTGGAGCCTGCGATCCATCTGGTAGACTGTCATACCCACTTGTGTCAAAATCATGAGCTGGAGCTCTGTCATCATCAGCTTGTGCAATAGCTCTCTTTCTCTGTCTATGCCTCCTTAAGGTTTCCTTGTTTCTTAGGTTCGATGTAAGCGATCTCTCCTTGATAGTTGGGCTGATGGTACATAGCTATCACTTCTCCTTTTTCTTTCTTTAGCCAAGTATGCTTCGTTGTTTTAAGCCTTCAGTCTCTCGGTAAGCTTTTTGGATCTCCGCCCTTGTTTTCCCCATTGCAATACCTGAAATTAATTAAATCCAACGTCTGAAATGTTCATTACCACTTTGTGAAATGTTCGTTATCCTAGAATAAATGATGACAGCGAAATTACCTTTCTTAAAAGTTATATGTTTCCATAATTCAGTTGTTTAATTGTTACTCAACCTCCTTTCAATAAAGTTATCTTTATCTGATTCAAATATTTGGCATACCACTACTCAAAACATGTACTGGATGTAATTCTAAAAGACAACCATAATATTTTAAAACAATACGCTTAGAACTGTCTATATAATAACTATTACCTGAATCAAAGTCTGTCTTATTTGTACATTATGCAAATGTTTATTTATAAATGAACAAATTTTGCTTAAATTCTTTTATGAAAAGTGTGTTGATTGAGGAAAAACTGTGCGAACTTTTATGAAATGTTAGTTACCTCTGGTAACGAACATTTCAACCCCTTTCATTCTAAAATTAGACAACTAGAAAGGTAATGAAACAGGTTTTATATCAACATAGGCTTTAACGATCTTCAAATGAAAAAATACTAGATGAAATCACGTTGAATGTACCATATACATGCATAGTGTTAGGACGGATGACAAAAGGTACTCACCAACATCAAGAAACTTCTTCCAAACTTTTCACCGTGAAGCTCGATTTCATAAAATGGCGGTTCTCTAAGATCAACATGACATCATAAAGTCACGTGGTATTTGAAAAAATGGTATCAAAAGTTCTCAAGCCATAGTTTGAATAACCTGGTAAACGAACATTTCAGTAACGGATATTACATTACATGCCAAATACATCAGGAAATTACCATTACCACACACCAGCTTTGGATGTTCTTTCCCTTTTCCCACCTGACATACTTCATGGTCTAAATGTAACTTAAAATATGTGATAAATATCTAAATTCCCTAACTTTTGGGTGATAACGGAGATTTCACTCTTAATTTTACGCATGGGATATTTTTCATGTGTTGAGATATGTCATGCAGGGGATGTTCTGAGCCCCAAATAATGACGAACACCATTAATTTAAACATAAACTGTATTCATTTAAAGTGAATGAGTAAGATTATGATTTGTTTTACACATGTACATGTCAATCTGAAAATCGATCACGGACATTTCTTCAAAACTGGCGACATGGCATTAAACTGAAATTATTTATCTATGAAGAACTCAGTGGCTTAGCAGTTTTCAGAAAGGATACTTTGGACCGATGTTAATATAGTAATGTACTAATATCCGGGTATTTGTACAACAAATTGCAGTGAATTAAACTGCAAGATGGGGTATAGTTACCGGCGACAGTATCGAACATTTCAAATTGACCGATTATCGAAGCTATAACAAGTATACGTTTAAGTATATTGGACTGTTTATGCATGATGTATGTAGGCCAGGGTAGTACCATTATTCAGCCATACTGATAATAACATTTGCTAATGAAATTTAAGAGAATCATGGCGGGCGACAGCATTTGCACCCAGTTATTGAGAATGAGTGAAAAATGACCAGGCCCTAATATCCTAGAATATCTTGATAGATTAATATTTGTTCGTGTAAAAAAAAAGCAATAATATAATGACTTATTTAAATGCTGAAACTGAGACTTTGAAAATTTTAATAAACATTTAAACAGAGACGAGATTGCCCATTTATTTTCAGACATCTCTGATATCTTGTATATGATCCAACAACATCATTTTCTAACATAAGTTTGATGACATTTTAGATGAATCCAGATAAATGACAGCTGTATTAGAAAATTATTTTTGGCCATTGCTTAGTCATGCGTGCATGTATCATAATGAAGTGTCATATGCTGGTATGCCCAATGGCACATGCTATATTTTGCTATATTAGGCACTACGCTTCAACATGATCTTTTACCACTGTACCACGACAATCTACAAATCCGGTTCATCCATAACATTATGAACATAGAGATTTTTTTCTGGGTTACATCTTCTTTTTATTCTCGAGTACAACGTTTCAGGGCTTGTTCTGGCCCCATCATCAGGTAAAACTGAACAGTAACTGTTAACTCTGGCCGTGATGTCACAATGCTTATGACATTATGCTTTAGGAATTGGTCTTCAGCAACTCATGTTTGAAGAAAGATGTGACCATGTTTTGCAAAGTTACTGACACTGTTACCAACATACTGAGGTAGTTTAACTTTTCTCATATCATTATATTATTTGAAGCAGATTTGTTGTAATCAAAATAAAAAATAGATTTTACTGTTTGCACTGTGACCAAGTTGGGTGGTTCTACCAACACATCACACAAGAGAGTATCCAGTTCATTTTGTATTCCATAACTTTCTGTGATGAAGCACATGGACCAGCCTCCCAGTTTAGCTTCTCTCTCTCTCTGCTCTCACACCCACACTGTCTTTGTCTTAAACTCTCACGCTCGCTCCCTCTCTCTTATCAGTAGATCTTTCACTCTGGACCAATGCTGGGGCGACCTTGTCCTGAGTGCCTTAAGCTAACCCCAGACGACAAGTATTTATACAGTCCTAGGCCAAATGTTAGAAAAGTCCATATCTTTTAGGATCTCTCAGCAGCAGTAAAGCATTATCCAGTAATTGGTATGACAACTCCCACCCTCCAGAGATTCTTGTTAATGTGGAACTAGACACAGAATGTATCAGGTTGCTGAAAACAAACAAGGATTACCCCGCTGTTGAAACAGTGTCCACATGTTCATAGACCAACTGCATGAGTATTAACCGTATGGTTTAATGGACGGTGACAAGCACTGATGTTCAACATGATCAGGATATGCAGTATGGGTGATAAGGCCTGGTGTATCATATTACCTGATAATGATGTTATCTCTACATTTGGCCTAGGAGTATATAGCTTTATCCCAAAACACTAGCCCAGGTGTCTTAAACGATTATCTCCCCATTACCTTAAGTATTTAGGGAAAGATAATCTCATATCACCTCTCCTTTTTTAACGAACCTTTTTATTCCAAGATATCTCTGTCAGAGTACATGTATAAGCATGAAAACACATATACTGAATGACATTTTGTATACACCCTTGAAGGTATATAATACCTTGTGATGTGAACAATTATTTGAATCGACGCTCACTTGAGGTCATTAGAGTGTCAAGCATCATGAAGGTTCAATACAAAACTGAATAGACATGTTGACCATAATATCTCTAAAAGATTCTGGAATGTTTGGTTGCAGGTTGTTATAACATGATATATACTCATAGAAATGAATAAGGGAACACATGCAAGTACAAGTGTTCCTGTATAAATTTTCCAGACTTTCACTCACAGTGCAATACATACCTTGTGAAGAAACCTGGAACATGTGTTCCCTAACTCCATGAGTATGTTATGTTCAATTTTGTTTTAATATTGTGCATTTGACCATATTGTGCTGCGTAATTTCAACTTCATTTGTAAAGTATTTTCATTCTGCTGTCAAAGTATGACTTTGCATTGTAATCACACAGCTTTTACATTTTGCAAATAAAGCTACACATATTGTATTTATTTTTATTTTTTAGTAATGAGTTACAACTTCAGAAATTGAACCCCAGATGATCAGGAAGTGAAGGCATAGTGGATGGCATGGTGGGCTAAGGCGCCAGATTAGTGACCCAGCGAGCTTGAGGTGCGGGGATCGAGCCCACCTGTGACCGGGTGTAAAAACCTCTTTCAGACTCTTTCAGTGTTGTCACAACCCCTAGTGTACAGTACACAACCCTGTGCACTTAAAAGTTGGTATAAGACCAGATGGTGGCCACATGAATACATGTATGTGCAAACACCTATAGTCTGTTTGCAGTGAAAACGTACTAGTGAATTTCACGGCTAAATAAAAAAGTAAATTAATTAAAACGAAATTAAGATTGCGAATCCTCATAATTTTACCTTGCCAAATGAACATTTAAATCTCAGAATTTTATTCAACTTAGGATAAAAGTTGTTTAACAAACGATCATAGATTCAAATCGCTATTATTGGTTTGTATTACAAGGGGGTAAGTGCAGTAGATGGAACAGTGAAACAAATGCACGTGCGGCGCGTGATGAGCGTTAACTTAGACCAACCCTACTTGTTCTCGGTGTTTCTTTTACTTTTTTATTTAGCGTGAAATTCATCGGTACGTTTTCACTGCAAACAGACTATAGTTGCAGGTACAGCAATGTGCAGTAAACTTGAACAAAGATGTGATTAGGTGTCCCAGTCTACCCAGCTGTGAATGGGTACCTCGTAAGGATGGGAAAGCCACAATAACTTGCTGCACCTAGTGGCTGCAAGAGTTGTATGCTTCCCAGGGAGTTGAGATTGATAGTATGATGTGCTGTTGAGATTGACATCCAATGATCGAAAGAAAATACCAGTGCCTTAAGCATGTACTAGTTGCATGGATATGTGCACTAAATAAATATCCTAGTAAGTTAAAAAGTATTTTATGTGTTAAAAGTGCTTTGTGCTTAACACTTTGAAACTGTTTTTAACATTAGAGAATAGTGAAGGAAGGTAAATAAGGCCAGGCAAGAATTGGCTGTGTAGTGTAAGCATGCATAGAAATCACCAGCTATCTTAGAATTCACCAGCTCTCCAACCACAAGGAACATAGGTACTTTTGAGACAGTCTTTAACACACTTTGTTTGTTCTATCAGGTCATGAACAAAGAGACAACTCATGGATTCAAAATGTCCATCCATTCACATTTCGTTCTTTATCATTATAACTATTATAGACATCATTTTTTATCAAGATCTGTTCAGAAGGTGCGCTAAATGTCTATGAAAATCCCAAATTGGAAGGACAAATTTTCTTCTCCATGATATCACTGACCATATACTGACAAATTTCTGCACGAGCAACTTCGCTTCCAAAATACCTGTCCATGGCACTTAGTTTGGAATCCTATAAAAGTCACTACTTTCTATTACCCAGTGACCAGTTAGACTGCTGATAGAACTGCAATGATCTTTACAGAGTTCGGTCTCTTTGACTTATATCTGAACGTACTGCCCCGTCTCCTGCACTCTTGGATGTGATGTAACACTTCACTGTTGTCACGGTCGTGGGACATATAACTTTCAAAACGTTTGTGTACAGATATGTATCTCAACACACTGTCAACAACATATACTCTTCAAGAAAAAAGTAGGGCAACTTCCTTTTCAATTTATGATTGAAACAACTGGGAGATATATATCGGAGTCAAACATTGTTTATATGATAATAATGAATGTTTTGAGAGTGCACCACCATTTGAACTTCCATATGACCATAGTTGTACAGTAATCGCTCTTGAAAGGTGACTGGTGTATGACGTGAAAATTGCGATTTTCAGTTTCATACCAAAAAGTAATGGCTAGAAACAAGCACAACTGTGTGATGCAAGATGATTGTGAAAATTAATGGTCTACAAAACAGTGATTTATCGATCTTCTTGAAAACCATCAAAATCAAGAATGACACCCCATGCACGTGTATGCGGCTACTGCATTGTGAATGTGCATCCCATACGATGTGTTTAGGGGTGGTGAGAAAGAGAAATGGTGGTGCATTAATACGATATCTGGTTTTTAAACCATATTGAAAGTTAAGGTTCCCCTACTTTGTTTCAAGAGTATAGTAAAATGCAGTAGTGACTTATTTGAGATCATTAATCCTTGCCACACAATAAGCTATGGTGGTTAGGCAGACTTTAAGTGAACAGTTTTAAGTCTGTTAAGCTCTTACAGTGACAAAAGCACTACAGTAACTGACTAGAATTGGGCCCGAAGTATCACAGCATGCAGAGATCCCCAGCTAAGTTAATTCTTATGAGAAATATTGTTGTGTGAAGATGATACACTGATGTCTACATACTATAAAAATATGTAGTGATTATGGACTTGTTTACTGTTTCACAAGGTGAACCTGGTCAATATTACACTATGTATACATTCCAGAGGCCGTATGTACAATACACAATCTAGATCTTGAGGTGAACCTGGTAGACAGGTGAAAAACAATTACAAAAGATGTATTTTGTCGTACAATGGGATATTTTTGTTTCCTCACAAGGTGTTTGTCACAAGAGAAAATCACTGTAATTTGCATAATATATGCACATAGCCTTTTTTTAACTTTTTGTTAATTGATTAATAGTGCCTTATACTGAAAATGTAGCTTTAAGAAATAAATTGTCACTTTGGTCTGAGGAGCAATGAGGTTGAGATCTACCAGGGAACTCACCATTCAGTGTTGATGATCATTGTTTATCAGAAATGGCATATATGTCTGCAACCCTACTGTCAGGTTGCGATCTACCAGGGAACTCTTCTAATGATATTGTCAAAACAATAAATAAATCTTAAAAGTCATATCCTGAAACAACCCTCACAAACAGCTGATACATTTTTTTTAGCCAAACCTGTCATATATTGCACATACTTGTATTGTGATACAGGAGTGATTGAGTGAGTACAGTTCTATGACCCTTTTAGCAATATTCCAGCAATATCATGATTCATCAGATAGAAACAAAATCAATGTCATAATATATATGATTATACTGGTGCACAAAAGACTGTTATTTAGTTTTTGACAGAATTAGCAACAATGTTAGGATTTACCACTGAAAAAAGACACTTGAAAT